TTTTTTTTTTTTTTTGGAAACAGAAGCTGAATTTTTACGCGTCAGATTTTTAGAATTAGATTGGAAAATAGTTTAAGATAAGGTGGACAGGATTTTGGAGCTTTACCGGAATAATGGTTGTTAGTAGTTATAAATGAGATTATAAGTAGGGTTTAGTAATTGTACACGGTTTACGCAGTCCCTTTTGTGTCCTACATTTCTCTTATCGTGGAAACAACCGCAATTAGCCCTTCGTGACGTCTAACGATCCTAATTCGAGACTTCGCGATTTACCACTGATATATGCATACTCTCAAAATAACGAGACAACGTAACGTTCGCATCGCACGCGACTAATCTTCGCAAATTTCTCCGACCTCGATACACCGTTTATCTTCAACGAGTATCTATACCGTTTAATATCACGTATCACGGAGTACGATCGAAAAGAAAAGGTACTCGAATCTTACATCCCGCGTCACTTTGAGGAACATTTCTCGTGATTGGAAGAATAAACGGAGGGGTAACAGTATATAAATATCCAAGAGTAAATATTTCTCGATAGATAGCACGCGAGTGTTTCGAGAGTTGCCACCTCATTGCCAAGGACCAGGGGTGGTATGTAAACCAGAACGCACGACCACGTGAACGCGATACTTTTGTGAAACGGCCGTTTCCAACACAAAGTGCAAAGCTTTTCCTTGTTAAATCCATGAAACCCATTGTGTCGCCGTACGGCCACAGACTGCCATTGTACCCTGTTTGAAGGTAAAATATTTACCACGACAAGAAATTGTTTTCCACATTGTGGCCTCTTAAAACCATCTGCCACCCTCGCGTCGATTATTCTCGACGATTGGATCAGGTTCCAGTCAATCCATCGTTCGTTTCCGTTTTTTCGCGAGATTTTAGGGTGAGAGTATCTCATTCAACACTATGAAACGAAAGTATTGGAAATTCAAGTATTTGTAAACTATTGATATAAATTAAATTCAGCGTAAATCTTCGTAAAATTAAAGGAAGCTGTGAATATGTAATATTTTTGAAAATTCCCTTTCCCAATAGATAGACAAAAGAAAATTCTAGCATTTTCGAAATTTAATCAAGTCGCAAAATTGTTTTGATTTTTTTATAAATAATATAAATAACAAATTTGTAACTTGTAATTTGTAATAATATATACAAACGTGTATGACAATTCGTAGTAAATCTTGTAAAAGAGGTGCTGTTCTTGTTACGAGTTATTCGATTTATTTTCATAAATTAAAAAAAAAAGAAGAAATCATTACTCGCTTCATGTGCACGAGCAATTAAAGAATACAAGAACATCTTATTCAAGAAATGGCATTGCTCCAGAAAAATGCCACGTCAGTGCTTCTAATCCTTCCTCGTAACGCTTTATTAACCAATCCCCTAAGAGCATATACCTACATGAACGTGATCTATTGAGTACGAACTCGATCGTAGCCGATCCGATCTCAACCGGAATTGTTTTTCAGAAGACATTCCAGATTTCACGACGACCTTGTCCCAATAACGAAGACGTGTCGTAAGTTATACGCGATATTGCTCTCTCGCGACAACGAACAGTCCAACTAGTTGGTGTACGCGTGCATTTCCTCGTCAGTGTTTCGAGAAGAAAGTCACAATCTCGTAAAAGTTAACTCGTTATATCGACACGTGAGGGATTCAGAAGCTGATCAGCCTACGTCATCCTTCGTTAAAGACAGTTTACGCTGTTGTTGATAAAACTTTCAGTTAGCAACCATTACAATACTTATTTCTAATTTTAATTAATTTCTAATTGACATTTATCATTCTCTAGTTAACAACTATTATCTTTACTTTAATTTTTATCACAATGTGCAATGATTAAACCATTTTGTCAGCAAGAGGATATTAGCATTTCTATTATAATAAGGCTCGATGAGGAATGAAATACATACTCACACCTCTTATATAATATCTTCGTCCGTGGATTTTAAAGTCAATTTACAGTCAAATGAAGGTTTTTCACGATCTTTCGTCGACTTTAATCATTAACACATCAGACCATAATATTTTTTCCCCCCCAAAAAACGTTCGAAACTTCGAAACATGGCCACGATAAAAACTCATACATTTTTTTAAATATTCTGTTTAGTTAAAAAAAATACTTGTCGGCTGTCCTAATATATTTTTAAAAATGACTTTCGAACCCCCCCGCTATAGTTCGTCAATTACAAAAATACCGCGTGAAATATCGTTGAAAGTTTGTCAAAGGCGGAGTCGAAGGTGATTCGGCAGAGTCGCGCGTTGGAGAGATAGCAACCGGTTAAGCATTGTAATCGACGTCGCGTCGTTGTGATTCATCGGATAGATACGCGAACGGGAAATTAGCCACGTTCAAGTATCGCAACGTTTTTCATGGAACTCGAACGCCTTCGATTCCGTTCGATTAACATGCTGGATGTGACACACAAAACTGACACCTTGCGTCAAGCAACATGACGTCAATCTGGTTGCTGGAACGTTCACACTCGCCTCCAGCGGACTCG